TACTACCATAAAAAGTACCGACAAATAATTACTAGTTAAGTACAGACGGTTTTATCGTATGAGCAGTGACTTGAATGTTTACCATTGGACTTGAACAAGTGGGCAAAAATAGTTCTGAGCAAATTGAAGTCATGGCAATGGAAAGCCGCTTGCTTCACCCAAATCCGCTACCGCCTTTCAATAAAACGAGTAAATAGCATCTTTTTGCGTGGTTATGTGTGAATTAGAGAAGATTTTGCAGATGTCTCGGTTTATCAAATGCAAGGAAACTAGAAGAGGTTGAGGCAAAGATCCTACCGCTGTACTGCGTGCGTAGCCGAGAGAGATGAGCTTCAACAACGTCGAAAGTGTAATTCTCCTCCATCCCAATTAGTGGAAAAGTAAAAAAAAGGGACTGAATTAACAAAGCCGAGTGAGAAGTCATGGAGAAAATGATTAGGAAATCTTGCATTCACGTCGATTAGGTAAAGTGGTGCAAATTGGAAAGGATGAATTGCCTTCCACTTTGCACTTCCTCCATCCACTAAATAAGGTAAATGCTTCTCTGTGTCAGGACAAAAAAGGGAAATGATTTTGTTGATTTCGAAATGAACATTCTTGCAGTTTGCCTTTCTCGGTATCCTTAAAATGCTGTGAGTTCTAAAACACTTTCTGTTTTATAAAAACGTCTGACAGCACTCCACCACATCCTCACAACTCGCAGCGTCTCCCTGGAGAACGCAATATGTGGGGCGGATACAAGTGGACAACAATCCTACCCAATGTGCGTTAATGCCTCATTTAGATAGTGAGGATGGAAAGCAAAGTCCGTGCTTGTTTCGATTCGTGCTGGTGCACAACAGAACGCCCAGCCAAATCGCAACAGTCTTTGCAACCACTCCAAACCACATGCTCCTTTCACTGGTCACCAATGGCTAAAGTGGGAAACTTTTGAAGTTCCTGTTTCCTCTGAATATTACTCATATGTGTCATACGTTATCTCCAAGTTTTTGATGATTGCTATTGCACAGAATCTTGCGAAAGTGGTTCTTTCAGCAATAAAATAGTCAAGCTTCTGTGTCAAACCTATGAAAGCGGGTTTTGTCAATGAAATTCAGAGTCAATCCATCCAGTATTTTAACCGGAAAGCAACTTTAGAGCATTCTGCACTTTTAGATGATTCGGTAGAACTTTTCATTTTGATTCTTCCAGAAATTATTCTTTTTTAGCTTAAAAAAATGAATCGTGGAAACTTTGGCCAATTGTGATTCACTGTTGTCCCTGTCATCGGCACCAGTAGGCGCCTTCCCTTCCTGGATGTTGATAACAAAGCTAAATCAAAATAATACAACTTTTATCGTTTCCATGGCTGACTGACTAGACTAATGCCTAATAGATACCTGCTAGGGATTGTTGAGCCTCTAAAGATTTGCAATAAAAGGGTTATTAAAACTCTCGGACTTTAAAACCATCACATTGCGACCAGAAATAGATCAAGTGAGAATATACTAATGTAAAAATTATCCTTAAAGATCTGAATGGCTGATTAATACATATAAATAGTCCGAATTGTGATAAAAGAATGATATTCAAGTGCTCTTTTATTTTTAGAGGTTTGCTAAGAAAGTTCCCAGCAAGCACACTCAAAATATTTTAAGGATGCGAATGTAGGTCCTAATTAAGCCCAAACACAATCAGCTGAGTTTTTTACCATTGACGAAGTGGAAACTGCAAAGATGTCATTTGAATGGGCAAATTAAAGTTTATTTTACCTAGTCACAAAGAGAGATTAAATTTCATTTTCTAGGTGACTATTAACCATTCCATGATGAGTCACTCCTGAGGAAAATGTTAATGGCTAACTTGTGCAAGGGTATTCAAAGTCCCCTACAAACAACCAAGTTTTTCAGTTTATGGGTCTTGCAAAATTACCTTGAATAATGCAAAATTGCTTTGACTAAACATGGACTGGGCCTCACCTGAGCCTACAGATCAAAATGAGGAGGTTTACGTACGGTAGACCTCCAACTCGGCAACTGATTGGTTGAGGTTTCTTCAACCCCTTGAAAAGACCAATCAGGAGAGAGCTAATATAAACAGACAGCAGAATTCATCCTATCGCGATTTTGTAATTTGTAGATCTGCATTTTAGTTTTTAGTAAGGAGTAAATGCACTTATTTGCCTCATTTAATACTTGTCACATGCCAGAGGTGATTTTTGTGCAAGTGATCATGTGGTAAGTTAGGCTTGCTATAATCTGTGTACTTTTGCAGTATTGAGTGGACTGTAACCTTGTGAGTCAAAAGAGGAGAGGGACTACGTAATATGTTGGTTGTTTAACTCTCGGTTTTGCTAGAGGGGCCACTTCGGAGCTCCGGTATTGTATCATCGACGAGTGGGCTCGCCCACAGGCAATGCCAGTAGCCCTAGGCCCTATTATGTGTAAAATGTATATATTATAAACGAATATTATGCGTTCTTTTCGCCTCTAGTGAAGTCGCGGGTTGTTACGCCTGCATAAAACTGGTTAATTTTAACCATTTGCGAAGATGTAAATTAGCCAATCCACTATTTCAAGGTCAAATGGTGTCGACAGGTTATTGGTCAGTTGTTAGAATAACCAATCATATACTGAAAATGACCGAAATCCTCTAAAATAAATAAGCCGAAATTTAAGTGCCATCTTTACTAATTAATTGACGTAAGTTTTAATAGAAACATTTAGAATTCGGCTATTAGCCAGTTATTGCTCAAAATAGGATCGTCTAGACTATCCCTAGCCAAAGATTATGTGAGATAATTAGCGAAAAAAGCGGCGCTGTCATACTGCATATATCGGACACCGTAAGCACAAACGGGGAAGTCAGGACATCCCGTGCATGCGTTGTCAGTAGTGAAAGCGTCACGTTGTCTGAATATTACCTGTCGCATAGTCGACCACATCTACAGCCAAGTGAGTGCGGAAAACAATTTCGTAACATTGTTTACCTTAATAGATATTCGAGCGTAGTGATTGGTACACGGAGAGCACGTTTGGCAGCGTTACACTTCCCGGAACATCAAACGTAGTAACTGTATAAGGGGTTTAAAATAGAGGTGGAGCTTGAAGACCCGGAGGAGCTGTGGTCTACTCAACAAAAGGTAAGGCAATGATTGTTCATTTCTGAGGCTTGCAGGTTGTGAGGTAGAACAATATTCCACCAAAACACTCACATAGATAATTCCTTCTTAACTTAGTCAGGGGCTTACAGCCACTCTATCATTTCTAACTGCTAATTAAGCGGTAGCATTTTCCATTTTTGCACAATGTACTCGAATTACCCTAGGTATGGAGAGCCACCTACTAATTACTCACTTCGTGGACTTGCATTGGTCATCACTTCCATCCATTTTATGCGCGACCTTGGGTTGGTTTATTGTCGGCTTGTGAATGGGCCGGTGAGATCGTGGCGATAAGAATCTGGCGAATGACCACTTCTGTTTTCAGATGACTTGTGTATTCCCTGCTAAAGCCTAGGGTAAATAGAGCCTAAAGTAAGCTAAGAAGAGGGCACATATATAAGTGTACCCGTTTCTACTTTGGGTGAAAGAATCGGCATAATGTGAAGGCCAGTACAATGCGTGAATCACTTCACAAAGTTAACTTATATGCAAGAAAAATATTTGACATTTGAAGGTGGTTGGTAAATGTAGAACGAAGGTTCAGGCCTTGTGTCGCTTGAAGTACTTCTCTTCTAAAGAACGGCATTGCTACTCAAAATATCCTCCTTTCCTTCCTTCTTCGAATCTTGACTTCCAGTCTGTGGCAAGACGAAGGGAGAGGAAAGAATTTGGGTGGGTACATATCTTGCCTCCTATTTTATTCATGCACCAGTCGTCACGAGTTGATCAGTTGTGACTGGAGTGAGTAAAGTTTGCCTTTGCGTAAGCCTGAGTCCCGGATTCCTCAGGGTGCGAATAGCATTTGAAAAGGGACGTGCAGAAGCAGCAGTTGCATGTTGTTAGAAGCAACAGTTAGCATTGCTTACGTAAATGACACATTTCAAAGTGAGTAGCATTGTCGCTCCCATGGTGAGCACTTAGAATCTTTCAAGCGTAATGTTACTCCACTCATTCGTTACCACTGAAAGAAGTATGTGGTATGGAGTGGTTGCAAAAGATGCCATTTACTTGCTTTCATAAAAGGCTGTTGCAGATTTGGCTAAAGCAAGCAACATTCAAGTGCCTTGATTTCAATGTGCCGCCAATCATTTCTTACGCACTTGTTCAATTCCAATGGTTATTATTCATGTCAGTGTTTATTCAAAGGGGTGTCAGCACTTAATCAGTCACCATTTGCCGGTGATATTTTGGCAGTATTTGACAATGCTTTGGAGTTGCGTTTTGGCTAGATAGGAAGACGTTCATTGGCTGTTATCGATTTACGCGTGACATCACTTATAACCAATCCGAATTCAGCGAACGGTGGACCTCTAAGTTGTCCTTTTACCGTTTTAATGATTTGGGCACTTTGATAATTTTTTTTGGAGGTAGGAATTTGCGGTGAAATCACACATTGGTATTAGGTGTTAAAACCATATCAGGTAGCCAAAAGGAGATAGTGTGGGTCTACATTGCACCTCGCAGCTAGAAGTTGTGGAATATTTTGAGTGCTTGAAAATTGTGGTTGTTGTGACACGTTATAAAGCATGAGTATGAATCTGTCTATCCATACTTTTGACACTCTTCTACTTTTCTCATACTATGAATTGTTACACATGCGATGCTGAATGAAACTGATGCGATATGAGATTGTTTTTTACGATGCCAGATTAGTCACTTCTAATGCTAGAAAAACTGCACGTACAATGCATTTTGTGGTATTCTAAGTAAATGCAATGTTGGAAAGTACATTTCAGAGCTTGTGATGAATTTTTGAGGATCGATTAATGCACCACTTTCGAAATGTCAATAGTATCTATACAAAGCGCCTTAGGTAAGAGAGTCGTGGCTGAAGTTTGAAGCCATCCATAAACACAGGATGACTCCAACACCTAAGATCATCACCATCTCCGCAGGTTCTAAAACGCACTGTGTGGAGAAGATTGCTTGCGGCCTGACTGATTGTTTTCTAATGAGAGATGCCTTTTCATTGGGCGTCTCATTGATTACCTTTAGACGACATTTTACTTTCAACGTTAGAAGACTGTGCTAGCTTCGTGTGTGCATTTGTAACGTAGACTGCTTACGAAATTGCTCACAATGGAGTGTTAGATTTTTTGACAGCCAAACAATCATACTTTGGCTCAGTGCAACAAAAAATGGTACACCTTGAAGGTGGGAAAGTGCCAGAGGCAATAAATCAGCCAAAAATGAGCCATAAGTGAAGAGCGTGCTATTCACATAAAAACGAAGCAAACTACGTGTGAACAGAGAAAGGGAGAGAAGATGATACTCTCTCATTCTTTTCCCTTCCTGCCATTGCGCAATCACGCGCAAAGTGAATAGCCTGGGCCCAGGCATCCCTGTTTGTGTGCTTCCAGAGAAAGGGAAAAGAGCTAAGGAGGAGTGAAATTAATAGGCTTACGTCCGAATGGATTGTTATGGTGATAACTGGGCAGAAAAAAAATGAAATACGTTTGAAGTTATTTAGATAATTACGCAAAAGGTTTAGTTTATTTCGGTTGCGCGGGAGGCTTTCCGTTCATCGTAATTAAACAGCATAGGAGGCCCTTCAAATTTACTAAAAATTTAAGCAAAAGACATTTAAAGCGGTGAAAATGGAAAAGACTAATTGTTTCCATCTCACAAAATCAGGCTACTAGCCTGTTTGATAAAAAACTTTTGGAAGTGAACCAGATATGCGGAACTAAAGGTGAAGGTAGTGAAGGTAGGCGAGTGGTTAAAGCAAGGAAGTGAAGTGTTGACGTGTCATCCAACCATCCTGTGTCCGTCCATCCATCCATCCATTCTTAACCCACTCAACCCGTATCCACCCATTCATTCATCTCACAATTATTTCATAATTTCTCTGCCCAATGTGCATTACCTTAAAGCAACTCGTTATATTTTTAATTTAACTATCTCTCCAACACTGATGAATATTTTGAAGCAGGTCATCGGAGTAAAGGAACCAAATAGGCTGATACATGGATTTTTGGATAAATCTGGGTCGGTAGAAACAAGACGGCTTCGCGTTGTTAAATTTATGAGCTGGCGGATAGATAGGACTGAATGGATTGGAGATGGGTGAAAGGATAAATGAATCTAACAATGGAATAACTCCTTGACAAATTAATGGTTTTGGTAGCCAACCAAAAGACGATCAAGTATACCTAAAAGATGGCCTGATCGACAGATCGACGGTTAGATAAATAAAAGGAGAGTTAGCAATATCAGTAGATGGATGGAGGAAGTGAGAGATTGACAAATGAATTAAAGTCTGACTTGAGTAGAAAGATGGATGAATGAGTTATTTGATCAATTGCAAAACGATGAGACACATGAATAGGTAACTGACAGGTCGAATGCGTAGATAACATGGACGCACGAGACTGGAATGTGTCAAAAGGGTGGCTAATAAACACCAGTGTTCCAGATGAATGATGTCTCCCAAATGGGACGGCGAAATAGGTTCGTTTCCGGGTCGAACTGGACAGAAGGTACTGTCCGTAACCGCTGGAGGTTGTCGGCTTGTCTTACATACAGGACACATAGGTGTGTAAATATTTATTCAGGGGACCAGAAATCAATACAGAGCCTATTACTCGGTACCAAAAATCAAGTAGCAATTAAACTAAGCATTTGAACTACCCATTTAAGTAGCAACTATTTTACTTCGATCAAATTTTTTTTTCATTCTTCAGATTTTGCTCAAATCTGGTCTTCCCATTCTACTATTGGTGTTGCTTGGCTGTAACCGGAAGCCGATACTGATTAACAATGGTCAGTCGCTTGTGGATAATATACACCTTCTTAGTCTAAAATCATTTTAACAGTTATTCCAGCACTTTCTAAAATTCAAATAATGCAAAAGGGTATGTTTGCTAGTGTGCGAACAAGGCAAGACTAATAACAAAAAAATCTTACCCGTTATACTACATAGATTAATGGTGACAAAAAGCAAAACCATTAATGAATATCACAAAGGAATCACTACCTCTCTGGCTATTCTGGGACCGATTAGAGACATACATGCAGTAATTGTGTTTAGGGTGCAATAAATGGTATTGCTCATTAGATAATAAAAAAGCAATTGTTTAATTCATCCGTTCTTCTAAATTGTAATTTCTGCAAAACATGAGTTACAGTAGCACAAAGAACGGCTTTCTGCTTTTCACTAAAGTGAGCTAAAAGACATTTAAAAATTTTTTAAATTTCAGCTTTAAAATATTCTTTGCAAAAATTTTTTTGTTTATTTAAGCCAGTCAAACGCAAACATTGCGTAAAGGTCGCCGTAGCTTGCTGAGCGTTTTATGAGCCTACCTCGTGCTTGGGCAATTCTGTTGCCGGTTTTGCGTAGTGCGCTGATGGGACATGACTAACAATTAATTTGTGTGAATGCACTTTACCCGGTTAATTATTTATTTGTTTCCTCTTTCAAAATGGAACTTCTCTAGCGGTATTGTTTCATCGGGTGTTTGTGTTTTCGCAGCCGACTTAGTTTGTGAAATCATTTTGAATTTCTCTTTCTGGTTTAATGGAACGATTGCCTTTTTGTGGAACTTGTTTTGTCACATCTATTAGTAGCGGGTTTTGTTTTTATCCGTCGCAATATAACTCGACCAGATCGGTTGTTAGAATTTCACCTTCAGTCTACGGAAGCCTTTTGACTTTATCATAGCTATAAGGAATGATATTTGGTCTGATTTTAGTGGATTTTCTGTTTTTTATGTTGCTTTTTAATATCTTGATCACATTTTTCCCTTACAACACGTTCTAACATCTCGTTGAGGGTTGTAACTTTGCACAGTTTTTGTCCATTAATTCAAAGCTGCTTTCGTTGCGTTTACAATTACTTCTAGTTCTTGGGTATTTTAGATGATAGTTCATAGTCCTTGCTTACCATTGATAAGCAGCAGCTTACTTGTCCCTCTACAAATGCCATTTTAAATTTCATTTACCATTTTGTAACTTTTCACATCCTCTTGTGCTTGGAAAATCTATCAATCTGTATAAACCTGTATCATCGAAGCGAATTCTACATATATGTTGCAAAGATACTTTCCAATCTTGGGAGGAATCGAGGTTACTTGGTAACATCCTCTTCCGTGTTTGTATCATAGATTATGCTATGAAAGACTTCCTGTTTGTGTGTTAAATATCAGCCTGTTTTTACCCAGCATATGTGTACTTTTAGCATGGCAGTGTTCACATACACAATTAAAAAAATGTATCTAATTCTAGGTAGACTAAACTGTCGCTTTTTAAACGCTAGTCTACAAATTATACGGACACTTTATTTCCATGTCGACAATAAAAATTGTATAGTAGAATTAATAAGGCCACTTACCTCGTCTTCTATAAATTAGGTATCCACTCATTAAAGCGATATAATAAACCCTTAGTACCGTTTCTCTGGTATTTCCACACTATCGAGCGTACATATGGGTTTTTTAGAGGAATTAGAGGCAGAATTGAAGCGGCGTGCTGTCTTTTTTCATTTCATTTGTTGAAAAGAACTCGATGAAGGTGAATAGTAAACACCCGCTTTACCTGTCATATCTTCTGACATTAGTTATCGTAGAGTAAAGCATTCATTTATATAATTTGGAAACAGCACCAGGCATAAATATGTCCTAATAAGCCTGTCATTGGTAGTATTCCATATAATTTATGTGCTAAGCCAAATCCTGTAGTCTCACCTTCTTAGTAAATTGGAGTCGATCTTGGCTGTTTGCTGTTTCAGGCACCATGACTTCCCACAAAATCGACACCAACTGTATGACTCTGACTCGATTCATTATCAACGAGCAGATGAAGTACCCCGCAGCCTCCGGCGAGTTGACGCAACTCATGAATGGAATTCAAACGGCTGTGAAGGCGATTTCAAATGGTGTGAGGAAGGCGGGTATCGCCGAACTGTAAGTAACCGTACATTTGCCTCCCCATTTTTAACTTTTGCTGTTCGTTAATGAGGATTATAAGTCAGACAAATAGAAGTAGCTGAGATTTCACAAATGATGCTTAATTTTTTGGAGGATACATTACAAGATCCTGCACATCCCAAAAGGAAGGTAAGAAGTATGCACGGTCGGACGAAAGATAAATGGGACCGCGCTGTGCCCTTACAACTGGCGCAGAAGCTGCGTCACGCACCTATGGTAGACTGAAAGCATTCACGGCATACTATATAGTCCCCTTTCTATTCGTTTGTCAGCATTGATTCTCGAGTAATCCTCCGTCCGCTTTCAATTGTTATTATGGAATCAAAGAAGTTCATGCGTTCTTCAAAATGACTCACTGCAATGACTTGGGGCTGGGCTTAGTTGTTTCACAGTGGAACTTACGGGATGTTTTTTTGCAATAGTTCATTTTTTTTCGGACAGGGAACCACACTGACCTATTCGATTTCCCCAGAGTTATGCGTGCGCTTCTATAGTACATTGAGCTTCGCAACAATGTGAGTGGTCATCGTCTGTAGACACGTTTCACCCATCCATTGCTTAATCGCCGAGACTGCGATCACGACGATTTGATGATCATGAACCTGCTTTACATCGAGGTTATAGAGTTCATTGGTGGTGGTGGTGGTGCATATTTTCGCTAACTACGTCAACGCCGATGTTGATGTTGTCTGAATCTTCGCTTTTCTAGCCACAGACAGCACTTTGTTACATTTCCCACTTTGAATTAGATCTCTGAACCAAACCAGCTACGGGAAAAAATCACAAACGTACTCACGTGTCACTGCTAGAAGACTCTTCAGTTTAATAGATTCACCGTCTTTACTGCAGCTATGGCTTCACGGGGAGCTCAAACATTCAAGGCGAAGAAGTGAAGAAGCTAGATGTCATTTCCAATGAACTCTTCATCAACATGATGATTTCGTCCTACACTACCTGCATGCTTATCTCGGAGGAGAACGAAGAACCGATTATTGTGGAACCAACACACCAGGGAAAGTATATTGTGGCTTTCGATCCGCTGGATGGTTCATCAAATATTGACTGCTTGGGTTCGGTGGGATCAATTTTTACAGTGTTTCGGAGAAAGCGCCAAGATCATAGTCGAGCGGACCTGAGTGAGGCACTGCAGAGCGGACGGAATGCGGTGGCTGCAGGATATGCGATCTATGGGAGCTCGACGATGATTGTGCTGTCCTTGGGATTGGGAGTGCATGGATTCACGCTGGATCCGGTGAGATTCTTAACAAATTAGATAGGAAGATGTCATTCATTGCATGCTTCCATCCATCTGGCATCTACGCCCACCTTATAGATTCATCCATCCCTCCCTTATCCATCTGTCCATCCATACCGTATGCATCAATTCATCCGCCCATCCACCCACCTTGTGTTCACTGAATCTTTCACCTATTTCATCAACCCGATTTTAATTCAGTTTGCTCATCTATATGTGCAGCTGCCTTCTTTCTTCAATCGTGTAATGTCATAATTTTTGTGATCCTAGTCCTTGGGCGAGTTCATTCTCACTTCACCGAATATTACGATTCCCAAACGCGGCAAAATTTACTCCATTAACGAAGGCTACGCCTCCTGTTGGTTCAAAGGCATAGCGAACTATATTCATGAAAAGAAGTTCCCAAAGGTTTGTTCTTATTTTTAACCTTATCTAACCCGAGAACCTAATTTGTTAGGAAAGGATTGTTTGCTGTCTGACTGCTTGATTTGTGATAAGAGTTGGTTCTTTGACTACTCCTAAATGGTAATTTTCAAGGCATGTGTTGTTTCAACCCTAGAAAACCTTGCCTGGTTCGCATGAAGAACTACATAGGGAATCAGTTACAATGAGCTATTAACTTAATGAAGTTCAAACATTTATGACTGAGCTTTATCAACACCATGCAGCGCCAAACACAGTAATCCAACTCGAAGATTGTTACAAACTCCTGCCGAGCTTCCACTCAGATCAGATGAGAGATAACGACTTCAATACGAAGCTATTTGTTGCCAATAAGCCTGAGTAGGCTGCGGGTGCACTGTATGCGCACGGGCTGGCTTTAGACATGAAGAAAAATAGATCCTAGAAACTCAAAGCAGGGATGTTATCTGCGGTTGTGGAAATCCCTAGCTGAGATGAGACAAGTGTGATCTTGAAAACTAGCCAAAGTCCATTAATCCATCAAAGGAAAGGATTTGTCTTTCTTGTGAAAAGGTGTAGACTCAGAGATGGGAGGATATGGGGCGAGAGGTAGCGGAAGATAGCCCATTGTCCCCACTTTTTCCTGGCACTGGGCAACCACATGTAAAGTGAACTCTGGACCAACAAAAAAGTAAAATGACTGAGGCAATCTCCTTCTTGTTCACTTTTGTTGCGCCTCTCGTCGTCGGTGGAGGATGGAATGAATAAAGTAGTGAGCCTTTAACCGAGTAAAATAGGTGAAGAACCCCTCTGAATCGCAGACGGACAGAATCACGTGGTACAAGGATCACACATTTATGGGAAGCCGGTCAAATTTCCTAATTTATTTCGCTTTCTTCATCTTGGCGTGTGAACTTATACTGATCTATTTATTTTAGAATGGTAAGCCCTATGCGAGTCGGTACATTGGATCCATGGTAGCCGATGTTCATCGAACCTTGCTCTACGGAGGTATCTTTCTTTATCCCGACCTAAGCACTGCTCCTGAAGGCAAGGTGAGTCCCTTTACTTACTGATCAACGAATCGTTTGTTCCATACTCATCTGGTAGGTAATGAATTTGATGATATGTAAATAAATACTTTTAAAACTGGAAATGAGATTAAATTGGAGGCATACTTGCCGTTTTTAAAAAAGGAATTGGGAGGAGATTTGGTCGAAAGGTGAGAGAAAATTAAGGTGGCCTAACTTTCAAGGAGTTTGTGAGCACCATTTTTTTGAAATGTGTTCTTACCAAACCACCCAAAGTTACAAACAATTGGCAAATAATTGGGATTTGTGTGTTTCATCTATCTGTTCGTTAATTTGCCCTTCTTTTGTGAGTCCATGGATTGAATCTTTTCCACCTTCTATCCATTCATCCTTCACTCTACCCGTTCATCATATCAATCAGTTAGCTGCCTACTTGTCAAGATTTCATCTGTCAACCATTCCTACATTCCATTGTACCGCCTCTCATCCATTCGTTCCCCCGCCTCCCCTCTCCTCTTACTCAGGCCTATCCGACCATCATTCCTACCTATTTAGCGGTTACCTCCTACCTGACACCGCTCAACTATTTGACTCTATCAATTGCTCTATGCATCCGAGCACGGATTTAGTTGTCGGCTCAATCGTACCCTTTTTTCTACTCATCTGTACAATAATTTCATTATCAACCCATTTTTCATCATCTTGCTGTTCTTCAACCCAGCCTTCTATCCATTCTTTGGAGATTCGTTCCAATATTTGTTTCAGTGCCTATTCATCTTTTTTGACATATGCGCTGAAAATCACTTATCATCCATCCATTAGTTCAATCGTCCATTTAATCATTCATCCATGCAACCGTCTGGCTCTCCACCAGTACAACCGTCCCTACGTCTAATTCCTTCACTAGTGCATCGCTCTGGCAATCCATCAGGTAAATAGAAGGTGTGGGGAAGACATCGGCCTTGGAAAAAAGTCTGGAATTTTGGCTATGATTGTTCTAGTTCACTCTAGGTTCGTTGTGTTCCTTACTCCGGCCATGTAACTACCAACCCATATTTTTGTGCGTCCATCCCTTTCGTGCATCCATTAAACCTTCCTTCGGAGCAGGAATCTATCCATCTCCTGACTCCCACGTCTAGCTGGCGTAAACCTTGTCGGTAGATATTGGAGACTGGGGTTTCTATGTTCGCATAGCCAGCATCCTATCCAAATACCCAACCAGATAAATGACAAAGACTTCAGGGCAGGTGTCTTTGTCACCGACGTAAATGCGTAATCGTGGGGACTACGATCGGTGCACACAGCTATGGCGGCTAGGGAACGAGGTCCGCCCTGAGTGTCTGTGTGCTGATGATTTCAGTCGCACGTTTTTCTAGTAGTTGACTTACCTCAACCTTTGAGTGGGCGTCAGTACTCATCGGACACATCTCCGCTTGATACAAAGCAATCAGGAGAGACGGAATGTTTGGAGGTTGGGCACAGTTGGCACTCCTAGGAAATTGAACGGGAACGGTTTTTCAGGGCTCGCAGGCATCCCTAGCCTACCTTCGATCAAATTGCGAAGGGACGCGATGCGACTTGACATTCTTAACAATTCGTACACTTTGGCAGATAGTAGCGAAACAGCGACCTTTCCACTCACCCATCCACTTCGTATCCATCCATTCGGTTTACTTATTCACCCACCTTCCAGTCTTTCATTGTTTTATCTCTCCATTAATCCCTCGTGGAAGGAATGCCTTTTTTCTGCCAACATTTTTTGCAACTTTACGTGCCTTTTGCCGGACACTTCAGTGTCCCGATTGTTCTTTTTAGCTACGATTACTCTATGAGTGTATTCCAATGGCCTACATAGTAGAACAAGCTGGTGGCAAGGCGATGGCAAAGAATGGTTTGAGCATTTTGGACATTAAACCAACTCGCATTCATCAACGGACTCCCATCTACCTTGGCAGTTCAGAAGATGTGGGCGAGGTTGTCCAATTTCTTGCTGAAGCCGGAAAAGGTGACAACTGCGTGGCATAAAATTAGGTCCCTACTCTTACACTGTTGTTATTCTCATGATCTGCTAGCTTTGACAATTGAGTAACCTTGATCAAACAATAAAAGCCTTATTAATTAATGAATGGTTTTCATTAAATTGCTACTTCCACTTCGTCATCCACTTTTACTGCATCATCACCGCCTTGGTCTCAGATCTGGTTGCTGTGGTGCATCCTGGCTGACTGGTTCGTTTACTTGGTCAAAACCGCTTATCAGAATGGGATATAACTTCCACGTAGAAATTAGCTAGCCAACGTTCATTTCTCCCATCCCTTGAGGCATTTTCTGTGCTGCCACTTTGTTTCATTCTAGAGTGCAGGTTGGTACTTTCCAATGGCAAGTCTGCTTTTGTTTATCATTCTGTCATGTGACACTTTTAGGGTGTGGGTTGGCTGCTAAATCGAGTCATCGCAGTGGCATCTGAGAGAAGCATCCCTCTATTAGCAGACAAAAAGTGTGGTTTTTTTTGCTTTTTTTGTTACAGAAAATAATGTTTTCCAAAACCGTGTTTAGCAATAACCCCGGCTACCGGCGCTTGCTATGCTCGCATTGTCATCCGAGGTTAGGCTGGCTTGTCAAATTCCCTGTACATCCCGGCGATTCGTGAACTTTATTAAATTTATGAGCCAGAAAAAAAGTTGATTTTGACTACTCCCCTGCTGCGGCATTATTTTTGGTTTATTAGGAACCCGGAAGCTGACTTTGGCCCCAAAAGAGCACAAAACCATTTGTAGACTTCGAAGTTCGAAATAGGCGAGTTTTATTTTCCAAGTTAAGCTAATCGACTAGGGAAATTTTTTTTCCTTCGTTGTCGGATGAAGTTACTTCTATCAATTGGCTTTGTTCTTGTCTCTGGTTGGCTGGTGTAGGCGACTTCAAGGTCAAACAGGGAAGGGGAACGCATGGGCAGTTTTAGCACCGTTCTATTGGGCGGTTTCTTTTTTCCCATTCTTCCTACTGGGTCATGTTTGCATTTCTGAAGGAGGAAAAGGTGGATTAATTAGATCGAGATGTAATAACAAAGACGTAGTTGTTCTCATTCAATGAGACTTTTAAGTGGAGTATTTGACGGTACTGACAATGCGTACGGGCTAAAGATTAAGCCATCGGAGCTTCGTCTTTATAGCACACATTGTCATTTCTGATCGTCCATCCCTCAATCTACACCAAATGTATCCGTTTCAGATCCAGTCATCCGTAATATCACGCAATGATCTGTTTACCTGGATACCTGTCCAAACTGCTTTGCTTCTACCCATTCGTGTATTTGTCACTGGTTCATGCATCCATTTAGATCTGTCCATCCGTGTGTTATCTTTCCATCTACTCATCCAGTTATTCCTTCAGTTTCATCCACGGAGATTCTGGTCCTTCATTCATGTATCGAAGCTGCTGAGTCCCTGAGAAATACACTACCTCATAATTGTCATTCTTGTCAGCTTGCAATCGCCACTTTCGTCTCACATCCGTTGTTTTGCCTTGAATATATGACTTTATCATGTGATGTCGATTGTGCAATCATTTTATGGTAGATTAGCCAAAACAGGCTAACGGGGGCTTGATGGTGGGTGAGTGAAATAAGTCGCCTATCGTAATTGGCAGTGGCAACCTTAACCTACCCGCCTATTGTACTCATGTCTCAAATCTCTCCCAGCAGAAAAAAGTGATCCTCACTTGAGGTCCTGAAGATACGCGTTTGGAAGAAGAACGCCTTTCCACTCGTCCGCTCTCTATTGGTCCATTCGGTTGATGTTCGGACTGTGAATCAGCCTGATTAAGGGGTGGAAAATTGTGTTTTTGCGCAAGGAAATCTTCGCTTAAAACAAGCCAAATGAGTCCCTCATTTTGAAAACAAAGGTCGTAAAATGCTGAATCGGTAGCAGATGAGACACTAATTAGAAGTGAGACATCTTTCATTGATAGATTCTTAGACTGTTGGTCCGCTTGATTAGGGAAAGTGGTATAGGTGGTTTTATAGAGGCGTCGATTCCCCTAAAAGGAACCTTAAAAACTCATTATTTTAATATTTGGGACAATAAGATGTTAAAATTGCTGAAGTTATTAAATTATTTATAAATAAGACATCTTAATGCAAAAGCAGGAAAGGAATATGAATCCTGAGATGGTCAGTTGATCACCAGGGCCTAGGAAACAAAAAAGTGCAAACAAAAAGAGGTTTACAACTGCAGTTTCCTTTGTTTAGTGAATAACTTAGCTTCGAAGTGCAAAATTTAAGGAGCCGTTTGCTGTAAGTAAACAATGCGCTCATCAATTTGTCATTGGGGCGTTAACTTCCGTCAAGCAGGAAAGGACTTCATATGCTAGATGTAAATAGCTAGTAAATCACACGAGCCTGCTAAATGTCTACGATTGTTTACACGGATGAGGTGTGGAACACGGAAGTTGGTCATTTAGTCCGCTTTACTCTCGTCTGGTTGAATCGGGCGGATGGAATTTAAGTATGATTACCATACAAAGCGAGTTTAAATTGGTTCTAAAGCTGGAGGAGCTGTGCATACGAGGTGTTGCACGGAATTTAAAGAAGATGCTACAGCGAAATTTACTACTACCATCAGAAATGGTAGATGATGTCTCACCTTCGAGAATGTCCTCTATTCCTTGCGGTAATGGAAAATCACGCATAACCATTCGTCAAAGGAATACCAAAAGGACAAAAAAAATTATGAAGGCCATTCCCCGAATACCTTGGTAGACAATTAAAAACAGCTTCTTTATTGAATAGCCATGGAAAAGGAGCTGCATCATTTGGTTTTACCCACAACTTCCTGATGATAATGCTTGGAAAAAATAGTTGTTGATTTGCATTTGCTCATCGAAATACATGTGAGAAGATCAGATGACACGCTTAACCATTCGAGGCGTTCGAATGTGCGTACAGGGTTTAAATTTTGAAAAAACCGGCATAACGACAGCTGCGCTTTTTTATTTGTTCACTTGCATAACTCGAATCCACACACTCCTGTCTTCATCCACAATCCTCCATCCACAAGTTGGTACAATCAGGATACTGGGTCAGTTAAGTTGCCCTAGGACAGCCACCAAAGCTAAGGACATTCTAGAGTGCTGGTTAAAAAGTAAAATATGTATTGTGTAGGCGTGTCTTCTGATTATTTGGAAAATCAAATACGGGTTTTATTTTAAAAAAACAAGTTAATTAATTGTGGAAACCAATTAGCCCGAGGGTAAAAGAGTTTAAAAATAAAGGCTGGGCCTGATGTGACAATTCTTAAAACTCTCTTTGATCAAACCGCAGTTTACGGTTTGAATTTCACAAGTTTACGAAGGGCGGGCTGGTGAGGTTAATTCATTTTTGGTGGTAAATATAGCAGACATTTTTCTTTTATGAATTGCTTGCATATTGTAGTGAAGAAAATGGAGGAATTTTAAGCTACCTTAAAAGTAACAAAGTTGTAACACAGCGTTCAAAAAATGGGATTGCTAACATTTAAGATAACAAATAGTTCTTCAGGTGAGTATTCGCTGATTTCTGCCATTTTATAAAACACATCAATGTAAGCATCGGATGTTTTTGAATTTTAAGATGAGCAGCTACTTATAAGAAGTAAGTAGAACCAGCCATACGATAAATAATCAAAAACCTTTGGTTTATTTTCTGATGCGGATTTCTGGAGTGCTAGTCTACGCCTCCGATTCTTCCTTCGTCGCCTACACTTTCGATGCTTGCGACGTCGCCTTTTGCGTTGCATCACTGGCGCATAGTTTTCCCCCTCCTCCATGTTTTGGGACTCTTCCGTAATGAAGTCATAATCACGGATGGAGCTGGCATCAGAAGCACTGCTACTTTCGACCTCTTCTCCTTCCACCAAAAGATCGCCATATTCATAGAAGGCACTCGCAAAATCATCCACAGAGTGTATATTATTTTCTAATTCTTTGTTAATTTCCAGTTGCCCTAAAGGTTTTGTAGTTTAAACACGTCTACTTAAATAGTTTCAAGTAACAGCTTTAAGGCATATTTTTAGATAAAGCAATACTAGGGTTTGAAGATTTCAGAGAGTTTTTTGTTCTCATCGCCACGATTCGATTAAGCATCATCTCTTGCAGCATAGCTTTGCCCATTTCAATCAGTGTTTCCGTAAACCTACTGTTAAAAAGTACCAGTAATTGCAATCACTTCTGGCTTACGTTTCGTTGCTTTGAATTTTGTGAAATTCTAAGAGAGCTAGGACGACGCTTTGGCCAAGTGCCTGAAGGTCTCCGCGATCGAAGTAGCGAAGAGTGGATCTGAGGTTAAACGAGGAGGAGAGTTAGGCTTGAAGAATGAATTGACATACCCAGGCTCTAGATTGGTGCCAAAAAGTGACGTTTCCATGGTAAAACAGTGGGTTAATTTGAACAGCCGCCATAGGGATATCCGAGCGCATCCCTCTCGCCAGGGCTGTAAGGAAAACCGACAACTTTGGAAGGAAAATCGACGTGGATCCTGTAAATAAATGAAAAAATTCTTTTACATAAATTAAGTAGCAATCGTGTTTATTGGCTGAAGGGGTTTTTGTATGCGCATTTGACTAAATTTGATGGATTTGTATGTGAAATAAATAAGCAATTTTAATTTCTTTTTTTTAACGAAGTAAAAATCTTTTTACTTGTTTGCTAATCAGAAAGGGAATCATTCTGTCGACTAAGTATTGTTTTGGATTTGTAAGATATGTCTTGGGTGGTTCGATTAGACCTCCGACGCTAACAGATCGGTATTCGGAGTCTGTTCCGTAGATGAATGCATTGAAGGCCTGGCTGTGTCCATGGAAATCGCAGAATATCACATCCTGTGAAAGCAATATCAGTATGATCAAAATAATCTCCCATGTTCATGATAGTAAATTACTTTGCAGATTTCCTGACAGTGCTGTACAAGTTTTCTCGTATAGTGCACTTCTGGTATACTATCCGGCCCATAGATAGTGTACGTCCTATTGACATCTCTACCAACAAGCGAACATCTAAAATATCTCATTACAGAATATCAAACTCTCTCCTCTCACCTATAATTTCCCACTATGACTCCATCTGCATTCAACATTGGGACCAGCTTAAAAACGTACCGACGTCTCAATTCCTTAGCTTTTTCGTTACGCGGATGGGTCAGGAATTCCATTATACCCTTCATGTTCCACGAACCAACCGTTTCACCGGGATGAACGCGTGCAGTAAGAACTGCAGCATATTTCTCACTATCCGGAATCGCTGGCAAAGTGGAACATCTACTTAATTATTTATCAGTAGAATGTCCCTCAGTTATAAGTTGCATAGCGAAAGCCTAATTAAATTTACTAATTTTAAAGGATTTACAAACAAATGATTTTAATGGGAAACATTTTAATGCATCCACTTTATTTATCAGATATGTTAATGCATCCAATGGAGGATAGTGCTTCAATACTTTATGCCATCGTTAACTACTTCTAGCATGAATGGTAGGTTTGAATGATACTAGTGTATTATAATGAAACGAGACAGATTTTTGAGCTTGCACTCAATGAAAAGTTGTTTTTAGCTGAAAGAAAGATAGGCCGTTAGGATGGCAAACAAAAAAGAAATTTGTTAAAGGTATTAAAAGAAAGGAGAAACGTACAACAAAGAAGGAGTTTGCCTTGATACAGATACTTCACACCTTAGCTGAAAGCAACTCTAGTCTACCAGTCTACCCGTGCCCAGTCTACCAAATTGCCAATCCATCATGGCATACACATTACAAACTCGCTCAAGTGTGTACATTTCCTATCTTATCCGTCTAATCACCAGTCCATCCATCCAACCATTCATCAAATTCTTGCACATCGTCCCATATCTAAACATCAACCCTTATTTCGTTCAGCTACCAAACGTCAGTCGTTTCTGATCATTTTACCTTTCTTCAGGCCACTTGTCTACAGATCCACTCGTTCTTATATTTGCCAATCCGCTACAAGATATTTCATCTATAAGATAATACTTTTGGCCATTCACCCATCTATCTTGCTACCCATTAACGACTTTACCCAATTATTCACCCAGCTGCCCATTTCAAGTTCAGTGTTGAAACTGTCAGAGTTGCCTATGACCGCGGATACAGCGTTACAATTTTTGGATTTCAGGAGTCTTAGAAGGTTCTAAAAGCCAATTCTAGGCGGGTCTCTTGCCGAGTTCCTCCTGATTAGTCAGTATTGTGTGCAGATCGACTTTAAATGCGACACTACCCACAGCAAGGTAAAGGACAATCAAAGTGACAACACAATAGACGCTACTTAGGTACTGTGCTCCAAGTTCTTTCGAATTTTGTTCATAAAAGCACCTGATTCTGCATAAAAGGATTAAAGATTGGCAGTCTAGATGGATCTTTTTTCCGCCTTTTAACCTTTTACCCCAAAAGGCGATTTTTTGACCAATGAATTTGATAGGGTGCCAAAGGTGAAATTCAACTGAGGCTTCATCGTCTAATCATAACTCCACTATCTTCATTACTTAAAAAATCCAGCAAAGTTTTCTTGCAAATTTTAAGCCGCTGACTGGAGTACTGAATGGAGGCTCGGAAACTTCGACATTGTACAGTTTATGCATTAAATGAAGTATGATGGCATTCACTTTGTTAACGAGTTATTAATAAGAGACAAAACTCAACTGAGCAGTTTTTTAAAAACTAAAGTTATAAAAGATTCCATTTTTAAGTCTTTTGACAATGCAGTCTATGGGCAAGGGAAAAATGACACCCCGGGGCAATAAGCAAGGTAGATTATGCCAGATGCGAAGGACTTACCCGGGTCAGTAATAGTTATGAGAAAGCAGGTATTTCCGGCAAAAGTGGAGCACAACTTCTCACATCTAACACTGCCGGAGGGTAACTTTCCCGCCCTTTGCATCATATCACTAATGTCCACTTTCAAATCGGTATATGTGTAGGGATAACAGTGGGCAAATACGCACACATCGTTATTGTAGGGAAAAACCTAAAAGTCGTATAACTGTCAGGCGGCCGTATAACTTCTCCGGTTTCATGTTGCAGCAAAATGTAAAAAATGTCAAACAGCTCCTCAAAATCTACATTTTTTTCCATTTAGACTAAACACGGCTGTGATCTGTTAGCTCTTTCCAACAGGAAAAAGGCTCACTGTGAAGTAATTCATCGCTATAAGGAAACAATCAGGCCTAACTCTAGCCACATCCCTTGCTATCTCACTTTCACTTCTCGACTGTGACCAGGTCAAAATAGGCGCTGCTCATGCCTCGGAAAAGTACGGGAAGACGAGGAATGAGAAAAAGTTGCCCTGTTGGCCAACTGACACCTACTTATGGCTTATAATACAAGCATTTCAAAGTCTCTTCTTCAAGTCACAAAGAACCACACAAACCGTCTAACTTGCCTGTTTTTCATCGGGAAGTATGCACTTACACCACCTACCATTTTCCAAATTAATTCGTAGTAGGTAGTGCCCCTCTTCAGGACCGGATTTTTTTCTGACCTCAGATTCCTCCCGTAGCTGAGTTAGAATGCAGCCAGACAAAACAAAGCAAATGCAACTCACTTTATCTTATTTCATTTTTATCAAAACAAACATTTAAAAGGGCTTATCATGTTTACACTCACTTAAATTGGCGAAATTGCAAGTTAAACTAGCTTCTTACTTGCCTTTCTGTGTTGTCTTTGTGATCGATTACAGGAAAATTTAGATTTTCACTAACCATAACAACTCAAACTATCCTGATTCATACTCTTTAAAGCAACTTATTAACAATTAATAATGATACTGATAATAAATAAGCATAATTTTTTAATTTTTTACCTTGTATCCGTTCCAACTCTGGTCCATCCATTACCCGTTTTCTCGGCCAATTTCTTTGAATGAAATAGAATTTTTTCGCCTACATAAAAGCGATTGTAAACGCAAAGGATTAAAACGTACCACTTTTCACTAGCCGTTTACTTTTAAGCAAGTTTACGATACGAAAGGTGTACTCCACGCCACACTGGGCGCCAGCTAGCTGGAAGAAGTACCACTGGACATGCGATTCGGTCACTAGATCTGGAGTCAACACAAGTTCGTATTCGTAGGTGCCACTAAAAGTAATGTGCCAGATAGTTTTACATGCTTTCATATGTCAGCATCTAGCAGTTAAAAAGGGGAAGAACAGCATAGCGTTTGTAAAAAGGTTGGTTGGTACTACAATTTTTTACTTTATTATGTCCTAGGGAAGTCCCTAAATATCTCCTTGAGGGTATTTATAGTGCACAAAAGTTAGCATTTTCACACAGGTTAAAAATTTCATTAACTCACATTCTTCTAGCCTGTTTCAGATTGCCCGACTCAAATCTCGACTCAAAGATCAATAGCCCCTCCTCTTTCAAAACATCCGCTCTTCTAATTCTCACTTCCATTGGTGGACTCGAATCTGTATCAAACACCACGATTGGTTGCCTGAAGGCCGCATTATCTTCTACTTCTCCCATTGGCCGTCTGACAAAGAGGTGTTCCAGTTTGGAAAGGACCTTCTCTCGCATCTGACGTGTCCTATCAATTTCCCACAATTCAACTCCATCCCGAAGATTTGGTGGAGGACCAAGAGGCCCCAAACCAAACGGCCAGAACGGGCCGTTAATATTTCTTCTCACACCCCATCTATCGACAATCTCGAAGCAGGTATTTTTGCTTTTGGTAGTAACGAGAAATCCTAATTTTGAAGCACTAAAATGAATGGTCTAGGGGGGTTCAAAAAATGAGGAGCTTGGATGTAGTATACCCTTTTTTGTAGGGGTGAAAGTTGGCAAAATAATTCAATTTCTTGTTTTTCTGGTTCGTGACAGCTGAAGTTGGCTTTAATTTGTTTCCAAGAGATTTGACCTTCAAGGAGCATTTCAACAATTTCGTTAGTCATCTTCCAGGTATGGAGAGAAGGCTCAGGCATTAAAAAACCATATAAGGCTTCTATTTTTGTGTTTTTTTCGGTACTTGAAGAGCTTTTAACCTCGACGCTCCTCATATAGGCGTCCACAGCTTGATGAATTGAGTTGGGTCGTCTAATTTCCAATCCATTAATAGCCAATGGCTCACGGATTTTTTTTTCTTCTGATTGATAGTCCTGAACCATCTTAGAAGCGACTTGCTTTAGAACCCACCTCATTTTCAAATAAATCCAACGGAGGCAGTCCCAAAAATCTGCCTACTGGCAAAATGGCCCGTACTGGGAGATTTCGCCTAAGCTTGCCAGCAGATTTAGACTTGATGTAGAAGGATTCCGGATTGAGACGTCCATCAACACCGTCAATTAAGAGAGGCGTGTATTTTCGAAAGCTACGGAGCCGATATGTTGAAAGGAGGGGACTGCCAGATTGGTTGGAAAATTGTTGATACGCCTGGATATCGGGTGGAGTCAAGTGACCCGGAAACGCTAACTCATGGGTGGTCATTCTAAATTTAAGGCAATATTATAAGCAATTGCAGCTTTTTCATTTGACACACTTTCAATTTTTGCCAATTTTTAGATTTTGATTGATGTTTAATAATTATTGCTTTATTTAACATTACCAAAGTATCTTCAGCCTGCATTTTTCTCCTCTAAAGTGACAGTCATTTAAAATACTAGTCGAATCTCGTAACCGTGGTTATGAATGGCTGAAAATTTGAAATGTTATTTATCCGTCATGCTTTTATATACAGAGAGCTCAACCCCCTCAGTGGGCACATGTGTCGACGGCGATTAATCTGTACTGTGGCCGTGTGACATACAAATAAGATTGATGCTGAACGGAATCACGGTATGACAAGTCTCTGGCATCTCTAATGTGGCCTAAGTTTAGCAGAAATCTTTATCCTAGCGCCATGGACTTTTTATTAAGCTCTTCCGAAAGAAGTATCCGCTTAACTACCCACTAACTCATTGTTTAATACGGCTGGAGGTCAAATAGTTGCGACTGGTTTCTATCCACTCAATGTCAACTAGATGGAAGGAGAGTCTCCATCGGGAGCAGCCTGGGTCAGTCAAGCGGTTGGATAAAATGGCATATTCCTCTCCATTGTCCTCTTCTTCCCACAAGACAAAGCATGACCTTATGTAGCAGACTCAGGTTTCAAGAGAGGAGTGGGTGAGGAGAGATAGGGAGAGAGAGATACTGCCTCGTCTTCATCCTCACCCTCGTCTTTTGCCCTTCATTTCCGCTTCGCACCATTCGAAGCGGGGGCCACCTTCTCTTGACATTGTCCAATCCCACGACCGCAGAGGAAATCAACTGGATGTGCATGAACTTGATGTAAGATAAAATCGGAGGTAGCAGAGGCTATCGCTAGTTGTTTGCTTCTAGAGATTACAACTTCTTTCTCATTTGAAAATGAGTTAATATCGCAATTGTGCTTAGGCCATCGGAAAAATTTCACCAAACTTCACGGAGATGCCTGTGACCTCAGAATTAGTTCATGTACCAAAATTTCCCACAAGCCTTTTTTGCATTAGTTCCAGAATTCTTCCTTGTCATTGGTCAATAATGATGAGGAGACACTTGAAGGGTGCTAGTGTCGACAATAATAAGGCAATGCCAGTCAGAACCCAGTGACTCCACAAAATGGAACCCTTCCATAATCCCGCATTTAAAAAGCGGATGCAGCCACTTGGACTGCCGGCAAGTCGTTTATGTTAAAGGTTCCGAATCTCAAAGTTTAATTCCTTGACAAATAAGGGTTACGATCTTCAAGATGTCGTGATTCACCCACATGAACGTCAGCTCATTATACCAAGTTTGACATTTCAATTTTGCTCTCGAATTGCATTCTTGCCCCTAGTTTTGTTCTATGAGAGTAAAGCCATTTGATTTGTGTCTTTGGCTGGTATAAACGGCGGCATTCGAGTGATAAAATTTGGTCAACTAAAATTGGCAAAAGGAGAAAAAGTAATCAAGGCCATTTTTTGTAACAAAAAGATGATTTAGACGATGATTACTTGGAGGGGGAAGCAGAGCTATTTGTTTTCTCTCCATAATCTGTTTTAGTGGATGAATGGTTCCATCCGTACTCTTGTCCTGTTTTAGGGAAATAAGTTTGACCATCTTCCTTCAAATCAGCTAAGGGCACATTTGAGCCAAATTCTTTAAAAAAAACATTTATCACAGTTAACATTAATTTTTAACACTTCAACAAAGGAAATTTTTTTCGTTCCAGGATTGTATCACATGCACTCTCCAGTCACTGAAGCTTTGATCTTTCCCCGTGTTAACATGTCATACGTGTCAGAGCCTCTCCACGAGGCCAGCAAATCTTACTTCTTATAGACTTTTTGGATCTCTAAGAGTGGCTCAGGGTACCGCATTACTAGTTGTGATGGACAAAAAGACAAGTGCTTTTGGCGGCTAGCTTTGTTGGGGATCACAATGGAAGGTGAATCCAAGCTGTCTCCATCCCAATTTCTTGTTTCGGTAGGAAGTGCCCAGCAAGTGAAACAGCGCTAGACAGGAGCATCTCGGAGACGTCCAAACTATTGGTCGAGGTAGTGTGTCAGTAAATATAACCTCTCAAGAGCTCACCGGATCCTGGACTGCATTGAAGTGAAGTAAAAGCGGCAAAAGGGAGTAGATAGAATATTTTACTTCTGTTTAGCTACTTCAAAACCCAGGCAGCGATTGACAAATGGCGCCTATTGTCCGAAGGCATAATTTAACCGTAAGCAAGACGGTATCAGCAAATTTTTACAGACCAGTATACATAGAGGAGGAAATTGTAAAAGATGGACGTCGCCTTCGCTCAGTAAACTAACATAACTTTGGTCGGGGTGATTTTACAAAGCAATAACTAAAAGAAATATCCACGGAGAATGGGAGAGATGATGCTCAAAAAACGGCGACATCCAACTATTGAGGTCCTACGAAACCTACGATTTGGGTTACCATTTGGTCATATGGTATCCTGCCGTCCATACCCCTCACTAGCTTATCTATTTGTCTCCTTGTGAGGGGCTCAGAAGTTCAGGTACTTAACATCAAGAAAGTATTACAACTTTACATGAAAAAAGACTGGAGGAAATTCGTGTTTAAGACACAAAAAGGTATTAATACAATAGAAAATAAAAGTTACCTCAGGTGCGAGCCCCAAATGAGACGCCGTCAAATTCCCACTTGTGCCATGCTGTATCAGGAGTGTGGAATAAGTGGCCTGTGCTTGGTGCATCTCACCATAGTGATGAGCTGCATAAAAAAATCGCCTTTTTTGTTTGTGTTAGTGATCACGTTTCAAGGTCAGCAGTCCTACGCTCACTGCATTGAATTTGCCTCCTTTTATTTTTGCCTTTATCCCCTAATAGTTACTGCCTTCTGCTTTTCAAAATTACTATTTTTTTTCAAAAATTTAGTAGCCAAAATTCTCACCTCTCTTTTTGCACATTTTATGACAGCAAGATAGTTTAAAGACAAAACGTAATACGTTGGCTGTTTGTTTAACCCGAGGTTTTGTTAAAAAGGTCACTTGGATGCTCCACCATTGCACCTTCGTTCGGGTCATACCAGTAGCCCCAACTTTTACTGCACGAAGACTACATTTAAATGTTCTGTCTGATTTTTATGCCTTCTTTTGCCTTCAGAGACGTCTCAGGGTGATACTTTGGTACCAGCAGAAAGGAGACACGATCTTGGAGGGCATCTATCCTGGGTGATTGATATTAGAGTGGCGGAAGAAGTGTATACGCTACGGATGAAAGAATCGGTGACGATCTTTATTGATAGGGTTGTAAATAACGTCTACCTTCAGCAACTACCCTAATTGCGTGATCTGCAGAACTATTAATGGCAAAATCAACGCCAGCTGTGAACCACCTGGAAAAGTTTTGTAATGAAACTGTGGACCGTATCGGCATGAGGATATGAAATATGTGAACTCGCGATACCTCCACCAACTCTTTATTAGCTGGATAAAGAACCGGATAGACAGATACAAATTAGCAGTTTTGAAATGAAAACAACACGACAAGTAGGAAGAGAAGCGATTTTTCCACCCCCATGGAACTTTTTTCAAACCCATTCTTTGGCACATGACTTTGCCTTCGAGGCAGTGTTCCCACCGCCAGGCATGGGCACGAGCGATGGCCAGCAGAGTCCCCCCTTTACTAACTGATTGGGAATCAGGTAAACATATATGGGCGGCTCTGAAATGAAAACAAATTGGCCGGAAGAAACGAATACAAATTTTTGTCCTCAAGCAATAATTTTACACCCCGTCCCGCGTCAAATGACTAGGACTAGCAATAAACGCGTGATGACCAGCACAATCCACATCTCCGAAACCACTTCCCATTTAGGACAAAACTCCATTTCTAGTAGAACTGCCAAGGGGCGTCAATGACGTAGGAATCAAACATTTCTTCCTTTGCAAACAGAACTGATGACTGACACGGCCGGGACGTGGGTGCCCTCTTACAGCACTGATTGCGCTGAGATGGCTTGAGCTGGAGGTTAACCAAGGAGAGCGCCGTGGAAGATGCTCAAAAGAAGAGAGTGGGTATGTGCCAGCTAGATTGTTTATCTCTTCGGTTTATTTACGCGGGCACTTAAAGCTCTGCCCTTGTAGTAACACTGGACGGCATGGCTCCTGGAAGATGTCAGTAGACACTCAACCCTTTGTGCGTTGGTGATACATAGTCTACCCGAGTATTCTATCTTAATTCTCCTTCAGAGATGTTTAGGGGAGCTACATATAAGTACACGAAAATCTCTTGTTTAACTTGCATATTTCAATGGGCTGGTTATTTAAATATTCTCACAAATCAGCCATATTTGTAATATCATTAAGCCATGGTAATGCCGCCTCTGCTACCATTCGTTCAGCCCATCTTTATGCTAGTGGCCAGGCTACAAGCCCTTCAGGACCAGTTTGGGGTCTTGTTGAGAAAGTCACTTACAGGGCACCCCCGAGTGACTGCAGCCCGCGATATCCCGGTGGCAGCGACATTGTCAAATCTGTATCTCAATCTAGAGGTCTTGCAATTGTTATTTATGGAGAGATTTTCAAATCAGCTCCAAAAAATTACCAACAAATCTTTTTGTAAAGTAAACAAAATACTCGAATTTTTGATTGTGACGTCACGGTATCCCTTTTTCATCTTGAAAAGTGGTTCCCATCCCAAATGTTTCCCAGTTTACTTTCTGATTGGCAATCAAGTGAAAATAAATTTTTTAATGCTGGATGTTAATAGAAATATATTACGCAAATATTAGGAATAATTCTTCTAGGGGAAAAGGGAAACGAGGACTCGGTGCGTCCTCTTTGGACCCTACTCCATGAGCGGCCATGTGGAAGCGTGTCACACAAAATCGATAATCAATAAGGGTTCACCACGCATTTGCCACATGTTTGACATGACTTTGTCAAGGTCCTAGCTCCATGCTTTTCAAAGGGTCAAATTTGACCTAACAACAGCTTTGCCATGGAAAAATATGACACTGACATCCCTCTAGGCTGCAAAGTTAGAAGTGGACCATCAAAAATTGACAATTTCTCTCCCAGTAGTAACATTTTTAAGCTGTGTGGGTTTGACAACTCCTTTCCGGAAAATGAAGAGTCTGTGGAAATAAATCTCAATGAATCTGGGGAGAATTCTCTTTCAGACACAGCTCTTCTAATGGGATGTTCACCGAATTTTAACAACGAAACAGATGGAAATTATGGCTTGACATCTAGTAGTATCATGGAGGCGAGCGAACGCAATGTCAACATAGATTATCATGGCTGTGATGTTGATAATACATCGCCACCCCGTATGGTTGCGTCTCCAGAAGAGGGCTATCTCGAAGGCGCTCAGTCAAATAATGTAAGTGAGGTAACAAGTTGTTCTTGTAAATCTCGTCACCAAGGCAGGTTGCCAGAATGCAAAGATTCCCCCCAAAGTGTCAAATGGACCAATTTATGCGATCGTGTGCCTCGAAAGCCTCGCATTATTTCCAAAAGAACCCTTCAAATTTCCATGGAACCTGAGAAACGTTGGAGTGACTGTCAGGACTCCGTGCTGAGAATTCATGAATCGTCAGATTCTTATTCCAGCTCCTTTTATGAGAACCGTTCACCAGGTCCATATGCTGACGCCTTCAATGACGACGAATGTTCAGAAGACTATTGCTCATCAGTTCCTCCTTCAAGCCCAATCCAGCCTTCTAGATATTCTGTCAGCTCAACTAATAAGTCATGCTCTTCGTGCAGATACCTGGTGAAGAGAAAAGGTTCGGGGAAGTCCCAACAGGAACCCCTACTAATCAAAGTTGGTGACTGTGATGGAAATTTAAAGGTTAACTTCGAACTTCCACCTCCTTCTAGCTCTCGTCACAAAAGACGTTTCGACGAAGGAATTTTGTGTCGCGATAAAGGCAACCCCGGCACAACACGCGAACTGGAGAGTTCTTGCGGCGACAGCGGATTCGAGATTATTCTGCGCCAAAAGGAGGGAAATCAAGTTCGACTTAAGGACGATTCCAAAAATTGTTTCACAGGAGCGAGTAACTCAGAGTGCCAGGTGATTACGCGAACCAAGTCTTGCACCGATGACTTCACTTTCTGCTGCCGACCCTGTAAGGGAAGAGCTGGCACCAAGTTGGGCCGAGGGGAGCCGTGTTATCGACGATACTCATGCTCTACACTAGGTGGGGGCGTGAGTACTTCGAATGCATGGTTTGGTAACACCTATACCCCAATATTGCGAGACAATTGTGTTCAGACGTTTTCTGAACTGGATAAACGCCACCAATGGGTACAATGCGTTGAATTGTCATGCCAATCAACCGATCAGTGTTGTCAAACTCCAGTCTCCACTTGCAGCGTGGAATTTGAGTGTCAGCCACAGGTGAAGCAGAATCCTTGCAAGGGATGCAGGCCATGCTCAATCTGTTTCATTCCACGCAACTGTTCCGCGGCTATTCCTCGATGGAGGTCCACCGTTGCTCAAAAGGGATCCCCCTGTTGTGATGATGATGCCTGTTCCACGGAGTCCATCTATATTGTGCCTGAAAAAAAACCCAGTAATGATGGAGTGAGTAGCCATTGTGGATGTGCGCTTAATCATTGTGAAGTAGATGTTGAATTTGATCCAGAGGTGACACCAATCCTACCTGAGGACACAGACACATCGACAATCTCCTCGAGTATAATGAGACTTGGTTTAGCTGCGGCAAGTTCTCCAAGATACATCACACGAGAGGTACTGATGAAAAAATGAAGTGAAGATTTTGTTTTTTTTATTTTTTTCCTTCAAAATTTTCTGTTTTTATGTTCTGACATTAATTTTACACAACTATCATCATCAGTATTTGTTTGAATATGCTACTTTGAATTAGGCGGCTCCAGAGTGGCACGAACAATTTGGTGTTGTTCAAACTTCTGCTAATCTGATGTACACGAGAACTGCTTGAGATGAAACGAGTAACAATAGGCATCCATCGTGCCAAAATTTTTGGTCACAAGTCATAAGTGGCTTTAATATGATAAGTAGGTCAGCCTTATTACAACTGACAGCTCAAAGTAAGATCACCTGCCACTTATGAGGTGGCAGTTAGCCTCTGTCGCCTCCATTTCCCAACCTTGATAAATTGAATAATGTGCATTCGATTCCGTCAGTGATCATGTAAATGCATAATGCCTACAAAAGGTGGTAACTACTCAGGTGCGTGAGGGAGGATACGAAGGTCGAAAGGTGAGAATAGGGACTAGACAGCAAACCTCATCCGCCACCCTCTAGTAAAATATGAATCTATTCATGGATGAATATTGTAATAGGAGATTCTAGCTTCCCCTGCTTTAAGAGGAAGAGAAACACGACTGAGTGACTAGTTCATACCGACCCTGGTGAAAGCGCTCCTGCACGCCTCCGGGAGCACCCCACTCATAATTGCCTATCTGATAATTTCTGTCTACGATGCACCTTATGAAGCGCTTTCGCCAAGATATTCCATTTTCACGGGTTACTCTTGACACCTTAACATCTCTCCTGTATTATGAAGAAGAGGGAGCCATTTTGACAGTGACGCGCCTCCCTTTGAGTGCTTCATAACCCGAATCAGCTTTTGCAGCCACCAAACATGAAGGTGCAAGGAAGGTTTCGCGATTAAACGATGTCGGCATCTAAGTATACGAGACTGCAAATTCTGAGGACAATAGTCCGGAACACAGTGAACGGTGTTTCATTACGCCCGCATTTCTGGGGCCCTCACTGATTACGACAAGTCGTTGCAGCAGGATGACTCAAACGTTCATCTCAGTTACCAGCACCATAAACAGACACCCCATCTGCACATGGTGGTCATAAATATTACCTTTTTGGAATTCACTGCTGCTATAGATTATTCCAATCTAAGATCTATCAGCAACTGTTATCCGTAGGTCTGAATTGAGTCCTTGTAACGCTTTTATCAAGTACCCAGCCAGTAAGACTTAATACTGTTGATTTTTTTCGGCGCAAACTTGCTAACTACAGTCACCAAAGTGGAATTTAAGCTTATCGCAAATTTTGTAATAGCCAAGAAGCTTGTAGACCCCTCCCATGACACCAACACGAGGGATGAATCGTAGGCGACCAAAATTGGTCTGCACTAGTTAAGCCAATGAATATCCTTTAAGCACAAAATTATTAGACGCATAAGCAATCATTTTTGCCTAAATATACCATCTAATTATTAAGCAATTACATCAAAATTTTCTAGACGCGATATCCATCTGTTATAAGACATATACTACTTAATCCTATCTAAGTAACAAGACGCCGATAATCTGAGGTTAAAATAATAGTATATTCTTCAAATTAACAAACATAAATAAAAGAACATGAACGCAGAGAATGAAAAAAGAAAGAAGACCAGAAATAAAACTTGTAGTCTGGCAGATTTTCCATTTCACGTGGCCCTAACAATTTGGTCGTGGACACGGCGGCCTTTTCGGACAGTAAGGACCCCCAGGACAGGGCGTAGATTGGCAGTTCTTACTCCCTCCAGAATCACCGCATAAAGATGTTGATCTTGTCATTGTAGGTCGACAGCAAGTAGGCGAAGGGGAAACAGCACAACCTCGACACGAGTTCACCGGAGGGGAACAGGAAATTGACCTGATGTAACAAATCGGTGGTGCTGGTGGAGCATCTGGACAACACTTTGGCCGGGGATTCTGGCAACAAGGCGGTTTTGGACGAATCGCTGAAGCTAGAAGATTGTGAGATGGTGGCTGTGATGGCTGACAACAGTTTGAAGGTGGTGGGCACGTTGGACAGCCAATCAGGCATGATGGCTTAGGACAACAAGGCGGCATCGGAGGTGGACAACAGCTTTGAGAGTTAGGAGCGGATCGAATCTTTGGACAACAGGAGGGTAAAGCAGTCTTCGGAGGGCACATTTGACATGTTAGCATCCGAGGTGGGCAGCAGGAAGGTTTTTGAGGTGGTGGACAAACGGGCGGCGGGCAACTTGGGGGTGG